TTTTAACTTGTATGCAGAACACATCATGCGATGTGCGGGGCTGGATGAATGCAAAGCTGGGGTGAAAATTGCTGGAAGAAACATTAACAACCTCAGATATGCAGATGACACCACTCTGATGGCCGAAAGCGAGGAGGAGCTGAGGAGCCTTCTAATCAAGGTGAAAGAAGAAAGCGCAAAAGCCGGGTTGCAGCTAAACGTCAAAAAAACCAAGATTATGGCAACAAGAATGATTGACAACTGGAAAATTGAGGGAGAAACCGTGGAGGCCGTGACAGACTTTGTATTTCTAGGTGCAAAGATTGCTGCAGATGCAGACTGTGGCCAGGAAATCAGAAGACGCTTACTTCTTGGGAGGAGAGCAATGTCCAATCTCGATAAAATAGTAAAGAGTAGAGACATCAGACTGGCAACAAAGATCCGCCTAGTCAAAGCCATGGTATTCCCTGTAGTAACCTACGGATGTGAGAGCTGGACCTTAGGGAAGGCTGAGCGAAGGAAGATCGATGCTTTTCAGCTGTGGTGTTGGAGGAAAGTGCTGAGAGTGCCTTGGACTGCGAGAAGATCCAACCAGTCCATCCTCCAGGAAATAAAGCCCGACTGCTCACTGGAGGGAAAGACACTAGAGACAAAGTTGAAGTACTTTGGCCACATCATGAGGAGACAGGAAAGCCTAGAGAAGACAATTATGCTGGGGAAGGTGGAAGGTAAAAGGAAGAGGGGCCGACCAAGGGCAAGATGGATGGATGGCATCCTTGAAGTGACTGGACTGACCTTGAAGGAGCTGGGGGTGGTGACGGCCGACAGGGAGCTCTGGCGTGGGCTGGTCCATGAGGTCACGAAGAGTCGGAGATGACTGAACGAATGAACAACAACAGAGTTTGGGAATACTGGGACTGCCTGTATATATAGTGAACATGGGATAAAGGTAAGGTTTCTATGTTACCCATATCACGGGGACAAAATATACATGCTTAAAATGCTCCTGTTCACTATTCCGATAATTCAGTGAGGTCCCTTAACTCTCTCCATCGTATCTTTCTCCATCAGCAGTCCGCATTCTGTGATCTCTGAACATTGTTCTCCATGGAATATCTCAAAGTGCCCACGTATGGGGTGAAGGACACTACTTGTGGGCTTTACCTTATCACTACTTCTGCAATCTTTCTGGCTCTACCAATCTGCTAATACACATGGCCAAATAAGCTAGATTTATTTGTGAGTGTGTGTGTATGGTGCTGTTATGGCCAGATAAGAGATAGCATTCTTGCCTGAACATCAAAGAAAATGGTAACTAGAACAGCAGAGAAAAAAGAGACAGAGCTTGGAAAAACTATCTAAATTTTTATGTGTTACTTGTTACTTTATAAGTAACCGTTAATTAATGTTTTACTAACACATTGCTTTTGGGTTACTATTTTCAAAACAAAAATCCTCTTAAAAATAGCAAAATGTTCCCATTGCCCTCAAATGTCCTCAGTGTTTTAGAACAAATATATTAATTAGTTTGATGTTACCAGTTGTTATATCATTACTCAAAGGGCCGCCTTTATGTCAGTTTCTTAAAAGATAAACATAATTCTGACTGGATTTCAAATCCATGGATTCTGCATCTACAGATTCAACCATAGACAGCTTGCATATATTTTTAAAAGCCTCAAAGCAAACTTGATTTTACCAGCAAACATAGTAGCTGTAGCAGATGCTTAGGGATCCTTTTAAAGAAAGGGTTATAGTTCTGTGGGTCCACTTCAATAGTCATGGTTTTCTAGGATCAGCATGTTAGAAAGAGGTATTTAGACTTTTCACTCTAATGCCTCAACAAACTACGCATCCCAGGATTCCATGGAATGCAACTGTGGCAGTTGCAGTGGAATCATGCTGTGAGTACCAGGTAGTGTGCAAGGTATGAAGCGGGGGGCAAATCATACCCTTTTTTGCTTTAGGTAGGATGGCAGACTGGGATTCACAGAGGTGTGAGGAGCTAGGTCATGCACTTTAGGCCTATTACAGATGATATATGTATTTTACTTGTTCTGGTGGCTAGCAGATACAGCCATATTTTCTATGATTTCACTACAGTATGACCCCCCTCCCCCTCCATTTGTGGGGGGGGGGGGGTAAGTTCCCTGACTTCATGTGGATACACAGAACCACAGATTATAGAGAACCCTATTGTATGAAGGTCTTGGACCAAGAATAGCATAAAGTCACACTGGGGAATCTAGAAAATGCCTAGATGTATTGATAAATGGAACTGGGGGGGGAGGGGGCACTGATTTTGTGAATACATGTTTGTACTGCATTGTGTCCAAAGGTTCTTATGTTATTATAGTGTATGTTTACTTGATGCATAGCTTCCTTGGTTAATTAAACATGTGTATACCTAAGTGCACCAGATTCCTTCTGATCTTGGAAGCTAAGCAGTCAATGCTAGTTAGCGCTTGGGTGGGAGACCACCAACGACCAAACCCTGATGGCGCAATTGGTTCAATCCTTGTGTGGACAGGACTGCTGACCAACATGTCAGCAGTTAGAATCCGGTGAGAGCGTGGATGAGCTCCCTCTGTCAGCTCCAGCTCCCCATGCAGGGAAATGAGAGAAGTCTCCCACAAAGATGGTAAAACACCAAACATCTGGGAGTCCCCTGGGCAACGTCTTTGGAGACGGCCAATTCTCTCACACCAGAAGCGACTTGCAGTTTCTCAAGTTGCTCCTGACATTAAAAAAAAAAAAAGCCCAACCTATTCCAGATACTGTAGGATATATTTCAATGGAAGGAAAGGCAAAAACTGTTCTGAGTATTCCTAGTGTGAAATTAATGGGTCACCATATGTTGAAAGCCAACTTGAAAGCACATAAATGTATCCAAGTAGTGGTAAAAGGGGAGAAAGTGTTCAAATTTCAGCTTGTTGGACCAACATAAAACCTACCTTGAGGCATTAAAGAAAGCCTCCTACACCACCAAATTTCCCTCCCCTCTCCCACTCTGATACAGAATCCCAATGATAGATCTAGGGGTATCTATCTCACTTGACCCTTATTGTAGTTTTACAAGCGTGCTGCTTCAGAATTGATTGATTGTATACATCTTCAAGTCTCCTGTAAACTTATGAATTTTATAGGGTTTTCTAGGGCAAGGAATAATCAGATGTGGGGCCCTTTCACACAGCCATATAACCCAGAATATCAAGGCAGAAAATGCCACAATGTCTGCTTTTAACTGGGTTATCTGAGTCCACATTGCTTTATATTCCAGTTCCAAGCAGAAAATGTGGGATTTTATTCAGCTGTGTGGAAGGAGCTGTGATTTTGTCAGTTGTTTACTCTAAAATATACTGCACAGCAGCAGGTATTTGTTGTAAGTCTCCCATACAAGTAGTAACCAAAACTTATCCTGTTTAGCTTCAAATGAGATTTGGTGCCTTTAGGGCATGCATCTAGGCCCTTATGTGATTGATTAGAGTGATAAAATATTTTTTTTATTTCTCCATTTTCTAATTGTGTTTTTGTTCTAATGCTGCCTTGTAATTAATTTGAAGCTAGCCATTCTGCCCCAGCATGGGAGATAATGTGTCACTGACATGTACCATTCTACTGAACTAACCTTGCCATACTGTGTCTCCAGCATCCTTCCAGAGATCCCTTTCTTTTCCTATGGCTCAGCCAAGGTCATGCGCTAGGTCTTTCAATTTCCATTTTGTGGTGGATGGGGAGTTGCTAGCTATCTTCAAAAGGCTGCAAAGTGCATAAGCCTGCTATAGACTTGATAGTTTCTACTTAACAAAATAGCAGTCCTCCTACGAAGAGAAATAAATGAATGGGAGTGTTACCGCTATCATTTTAATGAGTCTCTGTGCTTGAATGACACTCCAACCACATCAGTTATTTCTTGCCTGAGATATTGCATAGGATATTACATACAGTCTGCCTGTCACATTTGCAGATTTAACTTTTGTGATTATTTGAGGATGTGCTTAAGATGTTCTTTTTAGGCATCTCCAAGTCCTTCTGCGTGATTTCACCCATATAGTTGTGACAAAGGACCTAGAAAATTCCTAGAGTAGGTCCTCCAGAGTGATTCAATTTCCAGCAGAGGTTGAGTATTGAGTTGTGCTGGAGGACCTAAAGCAGTGGTTGTTAACCTGTGGGTCGCAGACCACCAGTGGACCGTGAGGATGAAAATCTGGTCCGCGAGCCTCCTTCCTCTTTATTTTATTTCCACTCTTTTCCCACTACCTGCCACTCCTTCCCTGTCGCTGACCGTGGCATATGTTCTGTATCAGAAAGTAGAGCTGATATGGTCTATCCAATGCAATTTTCTGAATGAGCACCCCAAACTGAAATCTAAAGTTGACCAAAAACTGATTCGTAACCCTTTTGCTACTAATGTTGGAGAGTGGTCTCTGGTCAAAGTGGTCCCTGGTCTGCTTTGGGAACCATTTGACCTAGAGAGATATTCTCTAAGGGAAGAAAAATAGCATTTTTTAATTTGCAGTTCTACTTTTGTAGAGGTCTTGCATTCCTAAATCCAGAGAATGTGACGGGTCTGACTGTATGGAACAGCAGCTTAATAAAGAAGTGTGCCCAATATTGTACTGTGACTGCTACAGGCCAACCTGACCCAAACTAGTGGTTTTTTGGTTGCTGGACTACATCTGCCATCACCCCCGAGCCACATGATGGTATTTTTAATCCAATATGTCTCGCTAATGCCCTGTTGGAGAAAATTGCCATGTGGATTGTAATAGGATTTGCTGAAAACACAGAGTTTGCAACATGTGGTTTCAATATTATCAGCCTTGTATGATAATTGCTTTTCTGTGTGGAAAATAACTCAGTTTGCCATTTCTGCATGCTGCTTTCAAACGCCTGCAAGGGTATGTCTTAAAAGCAACTTAATCAGTGATAATGCAGGGCAGGACTCTCCCTTCCTCCCATTTTCCTGCTTTTTCCTCCCTGCCTCCCCCTCTTTCTGTTATATATCCCCTGCAGGCAGAGTTTGCTGAGCTAGTTAAACTGGCTCTTTCTGTCTTGTGCATTTTCTTTGGCAACAGAGAAGTTCCTCTTTTATAAAAACAAGCAGGCAGACTGTCTGATTGGACATGAGTTTGGAAAGGATATGACATCAACCACATCCCTCACTTTGTTCTGTGTGCCTGAAATCTTTTTCCACTTCTTTTACTCAGCCAATGAAGAGGTGTTCTGTTAAACTGCAATGCCAAGGTATTTGGGTTGCTCTGGACATGGGTCTGGTATTGATGTTCCAGTCTTCGACCAAGTGTTATTTTAAACCCACCCACAGATTTTTAAAAATAAATCACTCATTGGAACATGTTTGTTTTCCTCAGCAGGCAAGATGGTATTTGAGCTTGCAAGATCTCAAACTGTGAAGTGAAATAACAGTATTCAGGCGAGTTGCAATGGAAGGAGCAAATGCAGATTCTCATTCATCCCAAGGATCAGAAAGCCAGTCTCATCATGTACCTTTGCGACCGAATCCATTGATGGGTGGTGAGTAATCTTGCTGTATGTAAAAGAAAGTGTTCATAGTGGAAAGGCCATGGGAGATGTGTTAGGATAACTTAACTGTTTTGTATTTATTTAGAAACTTTGCATGCCACCCTTGATGTTATATCAAGTTGTTTACACTGCAAAGGAATAAATAGTAGCAATGAAATGCAAAAACATACGTGGAGCAGGAATAGAAAAAGTTGTGCGAAGTTGTGTGAAGATATGTTATGCTACCCTTGATGATATATAAGTGATCTGCAGCACAAATTACAGTGAATAAATACAGACAATATAAATATGAAATGCAAAAAATCATATATATATATAAATCATATATAAAAAGTTACTGTGGCTGTAATCACTATGCGGTTTTAGCTTAGAAAATGCACCCTTCCAGTCAATAAGACTTAAGTTCTGAATAGACATGCATAATAGGATTGAGCTGTAAAATGCTTAATACAACAGTGGGCTATGCACAATAACACTATAGAGCAGGCATGGGCAAACTTCGCCCCTCCAGGTGTTTCGGATTTCAACTCCCACAATTTCTAACAGCCGGTAAGCTGTTAGGAATTGTGGGAGTTGAAGTCCAAAACACCTGGAAGGCCGAAGTTTGCCCATGCTTGCTATAGAGCCTGCTTTCTTTAAAATAAAACAACCCTGAGAGACATAAAAGTCTGACTCATGAATTGTGAAGTTGCCCTGCTGCTAGATGTGTATTTGTATTAGATGGCATGATGTGATGACCAGATTCAGAGCTGTGCAATTAGTTTGGGGAAAGGGGGGGTTATTTTTCCCAAAACAGTTGGTGTTCCCTTATAAAGGGTGTTCTTTTTGCAAATAGGTGATTTGTTGCGTTTTAAATGAGATGATGAAATATCACATTTATAGTTTATTTGTGAACTCTTTTTGTGTCAAGAGCAACTTAAGAAACTGCAAGTCGCTTCTGGTGTAAGAGAATTGGCCGTCTGCAAGGACATTGCCCAGGAGACGCTCAGATGTTTTACCATCCTATGGGAGGCTTCTCTTATGTCCCCACATGAGAAGCTGGAGCTGACAGACAGATTCGAATCACTGACCTTTCGGTCGACAGTCTTGCCAGCACAAGGGTTTAACCCATTGTGCCAACAGGGGCTCCTTTTGTGAACTGACTATACATATACATATAGTCAGTTCATCAAAGTTGCCTACAAATATTTATATGATAAGACTTCCTATTTACAATATTAAAATTCTCATCATATCTAATTGTGATCTGCACTCTCTCATCTCTGGACTCTGGTAACTTTATGCGCTCTAGATATGCTTTTTTCCCTCTTTGTGTCAGAAGTGACTTGAGAACTTGCAGGTCGCTTCTGGTGTGAGAGAATTGGCCATCTGCAAATACGTTGCCCATTGCGCCACCGGGGGGCTCCTTCTAGATATGCTGGAACCCTACAGTCATCGTCCTCAGCCATTATATCCATATCCAATGACCTTGCTGACTGGGGATGCTGGAAACCTCAGTGAGTGGAAGAGGACTATTCTGTAGTCATCCTCCAATGTTGGCTTTGTAGATTGCAAGGTATTTGGGCAGATATCTGTTTTGCTTCTATAAAGAAAGTACCATATACACAGATAGTCCCCCTTATCTGCAGGGGACATGTTGCTAGACTGTGTAGATATATGAAACCACGGATAATAGCAAACCCTATTGAAATATGGGCTATCTGACCCAAGTATACTATAGAGATGTGCTGGAGGAAATAGAAGATACCCAGAGAGGACATATTTTGTCAGACATGAACAAATTAAACCACAGACGCCAGTCCTGAAGATCCAGAAGTCAGTGTATACAAATAGTATACTGGAAATAATTTCCACTTACGTTCTATATTTCACATTCAATGTCTATACAACTACAGCATTTTGAAAGACGGTGCAAATCTTCTGGACTAGAGGACAGAGTAACCCTAATCCTTATTCACATGCATGGTTCTCTTCTGCTGTTACCAGTAGACTACGCTGATGGTGTCTTTGTCAACATGTTAAGTCTGTAACATCAATACAAAACAAAACAAAAAAAGACCTTTCCATATTGAGGCTCATTTCGCACTACATAGTGGTTTCACTTTAGCTACTGTGACAACTTCCCAAAGAATTCTGGAACATGGAGTTCAGAAAGCGGTATCTGACTCTGGAAGGTAAAGGTAATAATTTCCCCTGACATTAAGTCTAGTCGTGTCCAACTCGGGGGGGGGGGGGTGCTCATCTCCATTTCTAAGCCGAAGAGCCGGTGTTGTCTGTAGACACCTCCTGACTGCATGGAGCACTCTTACTTTCCTGCAGAACCGGTACCTATTAATCTACTCACTTTTGCATGTTTTCAAAGTGTTAGTATGCAGAAGCTGGGCCTAACAGCGGGTGCTCACCCTCTCCCTGAATTCGAACTGCCAACCTTTTGGTCAGCAAGTTCAGCAGCTCAGTAGTTTAACCCACTGCGCCACCCTTGACCTTGGAAACCAGGGTTCAAACAGCTGTTCACCCATGAAAACCCACAGGGTCCCATTCTCTTAGCCTCAGAGGATGGCCATCGCAAACTCTTCTGAATAAATCTTGCCAGTGATAGTGTCACTTTAGGGTTTCCATAGGTTGGAAACAACTTGAAGCCATACAGCAACGATTCCAAATGTAGAATGTGACTTTCTAACTTTTAATTCACTTGAAGCTTTCAACTTGTTCTCTTATGATGTGAGTTAGGTGCATTTTATATTTTACATTTGTACCCTGCTTTGAGGAGTTCCTGGTGGCAGAGTGGGTTGAACTGCTGAGCTACTGAACTTGCTGACCAAAAAGTCAGCATTTCGAATCCGGGGAGCGGGGTAAGCTCCAGCTGTTAGCCCCAGCTTCTATCAACCTAGCAGTTCAAAAACATGCAAATGTGAGGAGATCAATAGGTACCACTCTGGCAGGAACGTAATGGCGCGCCATGCAGTCATGCCAGCCACATTACCTTGGAGTTGTCTTTGGGCAATGCTGGCTCTTGGGCTTAGAAACGGAGATGAGCACCAACCCCCAAAGTCAGACATGACTGGACTTAATGTCAAGGGAATACTTTTACCTTATCCTGCTTTGTCTCCAGTAAAGCAATGCATTATGATATCATTATAAAGCATATTAAATTAAATTAAAGCCCTTTCACATTCATCAGGTGGCTAGTGATAGAACCATTTTTTTCCATGGAAGTACAAGTCTTTAGTGGCAAATGGCTAATCCTCTGTGAGTTTTATCTTGACGTTCCTGTTAATTTGGTGGAGAAACAGTGCATGAGGACTCAGGCTAAGGCCTTCTTTGAATTATTTCACATTATACACTTATATCAGTATTATTTTGCTGTAATTGCTATGGTTGCCTCCTACGGACTCGGGATTTGTAGTTTGGTGGGGCCCTAGAGTTCTCTGTCTGAGAATTTTCCCTGGCCGCTTTGAGTCTCCTTTGTGGAGAGAAAAAGCGGGGTATAAATATACACAATAAACACAATAAACATAATAATGATAATAATTTTAAATGCCACCCTCCCAAAGAAACCTACTGCGGCAGGTAAAATGGACTTAGAATGCTATAAGTGTATAGCGTGAAAGTAACTTTTGGTGAGTTATGATAGTGTACAGTGCAAGGCCTTTTGCAGGATAGTATGAAGAAACAGCAATGGGATTGAATGGGTTTCTCCTCATTGTCCCAGCATTTTACTGCCACCTACCCACCTTCATCACCTCTCATCTTCAGAGAAAATGCTGCAAAATCCAAGATTACATAGAATTATATTTGTGGAGTTTGTTTCCAATAGGTACAAAATCCAAAACAAAACAACAACAACAATTCAAAATGAGTTATAGATTGGTAACACATGGTTGGTAAGGAGTAGAATATATGTATAGATCAAAACTATTGAAGTGTATCTAATCACTTTGGTACAAGGCTTATAAAATTGCATTTAATAAAAATAATGTATATCCTGAGCAAATTTTTTCAATTCCTGTAACATTTGTAAAGATTGGATTTGGTACTTTTGGAAACAAGCTCCACATTTTAAGATTTTTAAAACTGACTAGTGAATTTGGGCACATCTATACTGCATAATCGATGCAGTTTTGCATCGATTATACAGATTTAACTACCTTGGCTCAAAACTGGGATTTGTAATTTGATGAGGCACCAGCACCCATTGGCAGAGAATGCTAAAGACCTGGTAAAACTACAGCACCCATGATTTTATAACCTTAGTAGCTAAAGTAATACAAACTTTAAAAAATAGATTTGCAGCAATGATTTTTTTACAGTTCTAGTCTTATTGGCATTATCCTGTTTTGGCCAATACTGATAGTGCTGTTTAAATATTATTGAAACCTTGGAACAGTTTGGCTCTGCCCACATTCCCTTGTTCTTTTTATGTCTTTGTACTCTGATCTCTTGCAAAACAGTTCTCTTTAGGCAGGAAACCCAGGGGGTGGTGTTCCAGTTAAGGACAACAATATAGACCTGTGGTCATCGGCCTGCTTTTCTGGAGGGCCACTTTAGATGATGGCAAATCCCATTACTGATGTTCCTTCTACACCTCCATCTCTGGGTTGGCAGTTGGGACTAGGAGATACCTCTGAGATCATTAAATAGAGCTCTCAGCTTATTATTGGAGATATTGATTAGGTTTTAATATTAATCAAGCCATAATTATACAAACCCACTTCAGAATTCTGTATTATCACCATTTGAGGGGATGGTGAATGTGCTTGAAGATGACTAGGAAGAGTACATTCACAATTGGAGGGAATGGAAGGAACATGTAAGAGGGCTAAGATCATTTCCCAGATATGCATGTCATCCAGCAGGAGAGCAAGTTAGCGGTAAGAATGATGGGAAAACATGAAAGGTTTACATGTCAATATCTAGAAATCTACATGCATGGTGGAGAGCAAAATGCAGCTGCTGCGTCATATCATCTAAAGTAATTTGATACAGTGAACATGGGAACATGCTAGACCCCTTTATACAGAGGAAACAGAGGAAACCTGTGTGGCTTCCTTTCAGGATAATAAGAGGGTCAAACCAGGGCAGGATACTACACACTGGGGTGCATTCAGCCACGACCAGGGTACATTCCTATAATTTAGGTTTCAGTCTGGAATCTCAGAATCTTGGAGATATTGGCCAGACAACCTTTGCAGGTGGGAATTATGTGGCTGTTAGGATGGATCTACACTGTCTTATAATCCAGATTATCAAAGCAAATAATCCACATCATCTGCTTTGAATTTGATTATATGAGTCTACCCTTACATAATCCAGTTCAAAGCAGATAATCTGGATTTTACCATATATACTCAAGTATAAGCCAACCCAAATATAAACTGAGGCACCCAATTTTACCACAAAAAACAGGGAAAATGTATTGACTCGAGTATAAGCCGAGAGTGGAAAATGCAGCAGCTACTGGTAAATTTCAAAAGAAAAATAGATACCAGTAAAATTACATTAATTGAGGCATCAGGAGGTTAAATGTTTTTGAATATTTGCATAAAACTGTAATTTAAGTAAGATTGTCAAACTCTGATTAAACCATTATTCTAACCTTCTTCAATGTAAATGTGCTTACACATCCTTCCAATAATAATAAAGAGAGTATAATAATAAATGTACTACTAATAATAGAGTAAAATAATGGAAATGTAATAACAACAGTAATAATAGAATAAAGTAATAAATGTAATAATAATAATTATAATAGAGTAAAATAATAGATGTAATAATAATAACAACAACAACAGAGTAAAATGATAAATAACTTTGACTTAAGTATAAGCTGAGGGGGGCTTTTTTCAGCCTAAAAAGGGGGCTGAAAAATTCAACTTATACTCAAGTATATGCGATATATGTCAATGAATATAAGGTCTTAATACTTTGTTGATTTGTAACCCTCAGCAATCATAAACACTAGTGAAAATACTGGGAGTTGTTATTTAGCAAAAGTCACAGGAACGGAAGCAAACAATGATTTGACCAACTTTGACACTTTCATCTGTTTCTCCATGTGGGATATTTTTGGTGCTTTCCTCAATTTAATTGGCTTAAGAAATGATGTTGACAGACTAGGAAATAAAACAGTGTTGCTTCTGCTCATTAAAAATTAAACATTTAAACACAGAGGTACCCATAACTCGAAGAATTCTATTAGGCGATGTGAGATTTACTATTCTGCAGCTCAAATGAAGATAACTTGATTGAATGACATTCTTCTTTCCAAACCTTGCTTTTCCTTCTCGTCACAGATTTTGTTTCCGACTGGGCTCCTATCCACGATGCTTCCTTGCATGGGCGACTACTTGCTCTGAAGAAACTCATCAATCAGGTATTGTGGTTTTAGGGAGATAAGCATTCTGTTTGCCTTGCTCATTAGGCCTTCTCTTGAAAGCACACTCTATTTTACGTTGGTAAGGTAGCAAGGGTTGACACTTGCCTTGACCTTGAAAAGAAATATCACACAGCATCTCCAAAGGAAGACAGGCTTACAAGGGAATTTTTGAAAACAACACAAGTTTTAAAAGTCTGCCTTGGAACATGAAATAGCCTTTCTGCTCTCTCTAGATAGAATTGGATTTGTATGCTTCTCTTTCTCCCACATCCAGCACTGTCATTAGGCAAAGTGAAGTGGTTGCCTCAAGTACCATATGTGGGGTGGGGTGGAGATGGTAATGGGAACATCACTTTGGCTGTTTTTCTCTGTGGTAGTACAAAAGTATATGTTCCAAGCAGCCTGCCTTCAACCTTCAGATAAAGTGAAATATACTATCCCACTGGGGCTCAAAAGTTCAGTCAACTGTTCAGTCATCTTTTAGGTGGAAGGAGCCCAGGAAAGCGATGGCCATGTCATTCTTTCCTTCCCTCAGAAAGAAAAATCTTGGACCAGACCTTCTTCCATTAAGAGTGCCCTATTCTGAACACACATTTTGTTCTTGAACATAGGGGCAAAAATACTTAAAAATTGCTACCCTGTCTTCTTTTTACAAACTGTTGATGTTTATACCAACATCCCCAGAGCATATGCTTTTTAATGTTATACTTCCCATATCTTACCCCTCATATATGTTCCCTCCATTCCCTCTAATAGTGAATTTAATTGTCCCAGCCATCATCTAACACATTCACCATCCCCTCTAATGGTGATAAGGTAACTAATACTGGTGTTAGAATCTTGAAAGGTTGTTAGTCTTGCTGACTGTGAAATTCTGGGAGTTGAGGCCCAAGAAAAGTCACTTTCCATAGTTATAAACATAATATTTTTCAAAACTGCTTTTAATTACACAGCCCAACTAATTTTTTTTCTTTATGTCTTGGTTTTTAGACTTGTTTGGGGTTCTGATTCAAAAAATTGCATTGGCTAGACCGCATCAGCTCTCGTTTCTTAGATATGGTTATCATCATGTTTTTTTATCGGCAAGCAGATGACTACTAGTATATGGCATATGTCCTCTATCTCAAAAGCTAGAGCTAATAGAAGAAAACTGGTGCCATTTTTTAAATCAGCAAGTCAAATACACCCAGAAACATGATGCTATTGTAAAGGAGTTGCTCATCAGTAATTTCCCATCCTAGATCAGAAGGAAATAATAAAATAGAGGTTTCTTTTATTCAGAAATCAACACTAACCATATGCTAACTGAAATTAAATTGCTGTTATAGATGAGAAGTAAGCTCAACATAAATATAACTGTTGGAAAGTATATTATCCCAAGATGGAAACCAATAACAATAGTAACAACAACAACAACTTTATTCTAATATCCTGCCATCATCTCTCTGAAGAGACTTGGGGTGGCTTACGCATGGCACAAGGTGTCTGAATTACAATATAAAATGCAATTAATTAATTACAATATAAAATGCAATTAAATAAAAAAAACATATAGGCATATAAAACAACAACTTAAGACTCAATTAAAACAGTGCTCATCAACCAATGGTGGTAAGATGCTGTAAATGTGGCCCGCTGTGTTGTTGTTCATTCGTTCAGTCGCCTCCGACTCTTTGTGACCTCATGGACCAGCCCACGCCAGAGCTCCCTGTCGGCCGTCACCACCCCCAGCTCCTTCAAGGTCAGTCCAGTCACTTCAAGGATGCCATCCATCCATCTTGTCCTTGGTTGGCCCCTCTTCCTTTTTCCTTCCACTTTCCCCAGCATAATTGTCTTCTCTAGGCTTTGCTGTCTCCTCATGATGTGGCCAAAGTACTTCAACTTTGTCTCTAGTATCCTTCCCTCCAATGAGCAGTCGGGCTTTATTTCCTGGAGGATGGACTGGTTGGATCTTCTCGCAGTCCAAGGACTCTCAGAACTTTCCTCCAGCACCACAGTTCAAAAGCATCTATCTTCCTTCGCTCAGCCTTCCCTAAGGTCCAGCTCTCACATCCGTAGGTTACTACAGGGAATACCATGGCTTTGACTATGTGGATCTTTGTTGCCAGTGTGATGTCTCTACTCTTTATTTTATCGAGATTGGACATTGCTCTCCTCCCAAGAAGTAAGCGTCTTCTGATTTCCTGGCCACAGTCTGCATCTGCAGTAATCTTTGCACCTAGAAATACAAAGTCTGTCACGGCCTCCACATTTTCTCCCTCTATTTTCCAGTTGTCAATCATTCTTGTTGCCATGATCTTGGTTTTTTTGATGTTTAGCTGCAACCCAGCTTTTGCGCTTTCTTCTTTCACCTTGATTAGAAGGCTCCTCAGCTCCTCCTCGCTTTCGGCCATCAGAGTGGTGTCATCTACATATCTGAGGTTGTTAATGTTTCTTCCAGCAATTTTCACCCCAGCTTTGCATTCATCCAGCCCCGCACATCGCATGATGTGTTCTGCATACAAGTTAAAAAGGTTGGGTGAGAGGATGCAGCCTTGCCGTACGCCTTTCCCAATCTTGAACCAGTCTGTTGTTCCATGGTCAGTTCTGACTGTTGCTACTTGGTCCTTGTCCAGATTCCTCAGGAGAGAGACAAGGTGGCTTAGGTATGCCCATCCCACCAAGAACTTGCCACAATTTATTATGATCCACACAGTCAAAGGCTTTAGAATAGTCAATGAAGCAGAAATAGATGTTTTTCTGAAACTCCCTGCCTTTCTCCATTATCCAGCGGATATTGGCAATCTGGTCTCTTGTTCCTCTGCCTTTTCTAAACCCAGCTTGTACATCTGGCAACTCTCGCTCCATGTATTGCTGGAATCTTAAGCATTACCTTACTAGCATGGGAAATAAGGGCCACTGTATGAAGGTTTGATCAGTCTTTAGCATTTCCCTTTTTTTGGTATGGGGATATATGTTTATTTTTTCCAGTCTGATGGCCATCTTGTGTTTTCCATATTTGCTGGCATATGGCATGCATCACCTTGACAGCATCATCTTTTAAGATTTTAAACAGTTCAGCTGGGATCCCGTCGTCTCCTGCTGCCTTGTTGTTAGCAATGCTTCTTAAGGCCCATTCAACCTCACTCCTCAGGATGTCTGGTTCTACTTCATTCACCACACTGTCAAAACTATCCTCGATATTATTATCCTTCCTATACAGATCTTCTGTATAGTCTCGCCACCTTCAGCGCCCAAATACGAATCAAGGCTATACAGATCTTCCGTATGGTCTCGCCACCTTCTCTTGATCTCTTCAGCTTCTGTTAGGTCCCTGCCATCTTTGTTTCTTATCATACCAGTTTTTGCCTGAAATTTACCTCCAATGTTTCTAATTTTCTGGAAGAGGTCTCTTGTCCTTCCTATTCTGTTGTCTTCTTCCACTTCCATGCATTGCTTATTTAAAAATAGTTCCTTATCTCTTCTGGCTAACCTCTGGAATTGCGCATTTAACTGGGCATATCTCCCCTTATCACTGTTTCCTTTTGCTTTCCTCCTTTCTTGGGCTACTTCCAGTGTCTCAGCAGACAACCATTTTGCCTTCTTGGTTTTCTTTTTCTTTGGGACGTACTTTGTTGCCGCCGCCTGAACAATGTCGCGGACTTCTGTCCATAGTTCTTCTGGGACTCTGTTTACTAAATCTAGTCCTTCAAATCTGTTCTTCACTTCCGCTGTAAACCATAGGAAAAGGAAGTAGGATAAGTGTAAAACTGTAACCATGGGACAAGGGCATGGGATGATGTGCAAAGAATGCATAACTATTATGTAAAAGAACTAGGCATCCAATCTGTTGGTAAACTGATTTCATTCTGTTTTACTGAGATTGTGGAGTTTAGAAAATTTCTGATAAGGAAGTAAGATTCTTTAGCTAAAGATCCCAGTGCACATGTATGGAAATGCAATCATGTTTCGCTTTATGTATGCTGCTGTTGAGACTGGGAATGGATTCTTGAGGTGAAAATTTTAAGCCAATGTATTATTTTGAAATAAATTAATGAATACATTTTATATCAAATAAAGTTTCTGAAATACCCCAGCTTGATTGTCAAAGTTAAGCTTGATGCCTTTGAAGACTACTTTGATTCAGCAAACATTATTTTGCCTCCTTGATTTTTCTTTTTATATATAGAATCATAGAATCAAAGAGTTGGAAGAGACCTCATGGGCCATCCAATCCAACAGAGATTAACATTGTGGAGCAATTCCGCACTACTGCATGGCATAATTCTTAACTAGTTCATTGGTTTTAGAAAAAAGACTGGATACACAGTTACATCACTGATTGTCTAGGGTTAGCCACTATGGAATGTCCATATTTGCATACCCAAACATTAATAAATGACTTCCAGGTTTGTCTCAAAATTGCTCACATACAGCTTTTGTGATGGCACCTGAAGTCTTCCTAGCCTTTAAAAATACACAGCATACATAAAGGCTTTCCTTTTCTCCCAGTCAAAAAGCCTTTCTTCTGTTCCACCAACCTTTTTCAAAAACATGTGTAAATATGTCCCGTTCTGTCCGTCAGAAACCTTTACTTCTATCCCATTGATTGACCTTTACAAGTGTAAATATATGATACAGAGTAACCTTGGTGTGTGTTTGCACAAAAGTAAATCCCATTCCATTCAGTGGGATTGTTCCTCAAGTAAATGTTCTCAGGATTGCCTTCTTTACTGTTGTCTGTTTTGTTATTAAAAGATTAGCAAAAAGAGCAAGTTTAGTTGGAGACAATCTGTTGGGTTTTTTTAACAACCGTCTCACTATTCTGGCATAACATCTAGTTCTTACAGTTTCTAAAACACAATGTTATCAAGACCCATGTGCTTCCTGCGGAGATAATATTGCAGAAGAACATTTTTCACATCAGCCATTTCTAGAATGAGCTTTGAGACAATCAACAAATAAATCAGCTATTAAAACTATTCTTCACTTTTTGGGGGCTTGTGCCACTAGACCAATGAGAACTAGATTTCCTGACACTAGTCAGCCGTGGATCTGGTGATTTGACAACATAAAATAGTTCCGTTTTCAAAGAACTGTAGGTTTCAGCCTCTAATTACAACTTCTGTTGTTATGCCAGGGAACCAGTGTGAATATTATGACAGCAGATTGTGTGTCTCCTCTCCATGAAGCTTGCCTAGGGGGAAATTCTGCTTGTGCCAGCGTTTTGTTGAAACATGGGGCCCATGTAAGTATCTAAATTGGACTGGGGTTTTGGTACATGCAAAAAGAAGAAGAAGGAATTGTCAAGCACATCAGTCCTTAATGTTTTTTTTTATTATCATGGATCCCATTTAAATATTATTTGTTCCTGGTGACTGCCAAGTCTAAAAATTTAAATATTTGTTTAAGGTTATTTAAATAAATATTAATGTATCAAAGATCTTCTTATTTGAAGAGAAGGGAGAACTAAGGAAAAGCAAACACACCTAGCATAGTATTTTTTATTGGGTTGATTCCATACAACAGACATGATCATAATCATCATCAAAACTATCATCATTATCATCAGTACCTGAACACCGCACTATGACCTAATATTTCTTGTTTGTTTTAATTAATTAATGAGAAGGCTGGCACTTCATTTCACTTCCAATCCTTGTTGTATTGGGTTTAATAACCAAACCTTGAATTTTAACTGTAAAAGCTCAAACCTTTGTGGATCTCTTGTGGGGGCATCATGTCATCCCATAGAGGGATATTTGTGGACCACAGGTCAAGAACCACTATGCTAGAAGGGTCTTTGATAGCTCACAAAAATGAGGCAACCCAAAACTACCATCCCACCCTGTTTTGGCATTTTCTGATGTTGCGGGAATATCCTGCTTGGCAACAGGACAATAACTTAAAATGTTGATTAGAATTAAAGTTGTGAATTTTCATGTTCTGTCTATAGTATCTCGGGTATTTGGTAGGAACAGTTAATTTCAGAAAAGAGAATTATCTGAGCAAATCATGCCTTCTGATGCTAAATCTGGAGGAACTGAGTATGATTATTTTACAGTATGAAAACCACATTTAGATTATGCTCACAAATACTCAATGTTTTTGAGGCTGAGCCTTAACATGGAAAAGGGGTAAAAAGTTATAACTCATTTTAAATTTAAAAGTTCGTATAGTGGTTTTTGTTTCCCCCCCTTCATTTGTCAAAGCTTTTCACCATTTATGGTACGGAGATGAGTCTAATAAACATGATGTTGCTGTTTCCCCAATTTAAGTCCACTATTTGTTTGTTTGTTTGTTTGAAACAATACACATTACTTCTTTCAGGTAAACACTGCTACAATTGACTGGAACACACCTTTGTTCAACGCTTGCATCAGTGGCAGTGCAGACTGTGTGAATTTGTTACTGGAACATGGAGCCAGCCCGCATCCAATGTGTGATCTGGCATCACCTGTCCATGAAGCTGCTAAGAGGGGTAAGCCTATGAAAAAATGTCCATTCGTGATAATAGGAAGTGTTTTACTGAAAGAAGAAAGAGGTGTTGCATTCGTTGTTTGAAACCTGAAAATAGGATTTGTACCATGCACCAGTTATCACCAAAGTGCATAGTACAACCTGAAAGCCAGAAATGCCTCCAGATCTCCCCAGTTCCTTGAAGACCATCCCAAATTGGGAAAGAAGAGCACAGTGACTTATCACATGGTGAATCTGTGGCTTTGGATGAAATGAAATGTGGATGTTTTTGTCATGGTTGTGACCTGGCATCTCTTTCGCAGAAGCTTGCTCAGCTTGGCATGGCCTCTTGAGGAAATGTGAACCACTGGTCAAACCTAGGTTTAACTGTCTGGAGTAACCCTGAATTAGGTTTCACACCAGTTTGGGGGAGGCATATTTATTCTGTTCTGTGGTCCAGCAGGGTCAGCCTTTCTCAGAAGCTTCATCCTCCCCACTTACCCTCCTTTTAAGATGTATTGGCTTCAGAGTCTAGATTGTGTAACAGATTTTGTGAGTGCTTTTGTGAATAGGTGCGTTGGTCAGTGCCTGCATCTGGACCAAGGTGGATTCCAGGCCAATCTGCAGCTGTAACCAATAAAAATTATCTCCTACCCATAAATCTTGGTGTGTTATTTCAAGCAGAGTGAAGGTCATATCTAAGCATTCAATGGCTATTTCTGCTCCCAGAAGCCTCACTGTGCTCCCCAAGTCTTACCATCACCCTCTCCCCAAGTCTCTTGCTAATGTTCTTGCTAATTCAAGGGCTGCTCATTTAAGGTCCCTTCTACATTGCCATATATCCCAGGATTTGATCCTAGATTATCTGATTATCCCAGATTATATGGCAGTGGAGACTCATATAATTCAGTTCAAAACAGATAATCTGGGATCAGATCCTGGGATATGGGGCAGTATAGATCCAACCTTAGGCCCCTTCTGCACTGCCATATAAAATCCAGACTAGCTGCTTTGTACTGGATTATATGGCAATGTAGACTCATATAATCCAGCTCATAGCAGAAAATCCGGATTCTCTGCTTTGAAAATCTGGATTATGTGGCGGTGTAGAAAAGGACCCTTAGTCACTGGGATTGAAAAGCTTGTGTAATACTTAACAATTGTAACTTGATTTAATTCTTCTTCTAGTGGCCATGTTGTAAAGGAGGATGAGAGGGGAATCACGAGGAACACTAAACCATCTTTAGTTGTATAGGTGAATGCAGCCTCTATCCATCACTGCTTTTTAAGAGAACAATCCCAGCCTGTTGTTTAGGGATGGCCAGGAAAGACAACATTAGTGTAATATTACTACACTAAACTAATTTGAAAAACCACTAAATCTACATATTATTAACTGCTGTATTTCTGGGTGATAGTATTTAATTATCCAGTGCGTTTAAATTGTTTTTTAACTCTATGGAATCCTTTTAACAGGTCACACCAAATGTGTAGAATCCCTTGTATCTCATGGAGTCGATATTGATCACAACATAAAACACCTTGGTACTCCACTTTATGTAGCTTGTGAGAACCAGCAAGTGGAATGTGCAAAAAAATTACTTGAATCAGGTAATTTTTAACAAGTTATATCTTATGTACTGCCAACAAATTCATTCCCCTGAACATGGATACTTTTTTAGTCAAAGGACCATTTAACAGTCATGGCTTTTGACTAGGAAACCTGGAAACTACAGTCAACCCCCTCCACATTAAGTATTGATTCATACGTTCTCTCTTGGAATCTGTAGGTCCTTCAGTGCAATTTTATGGTCAACTTCTTCTGGAGCATCGATTTCTAGACAGAATATTTCTCTAGGCAATTGTACAACCTCCAGAGTAATCCTGTGGTTGACAACTAGTAAAAGTTGATCATAGAGTCATACCAGAGGGCCTACTGTATATTGTTTCCAAATGCTGAAAGGTCTTTGGTATTGTCTGCTAGTCCATTCACACAGATTCAGCATCCACAATACTTTGTCTATATGGCTCATTATAAAAAACAGACAGGAATCCACTTTCAGTTGTAACGTACCATATATACTTGAGTATAAGCCAAGTTTTTTGCCCTTTTTAAAGCTGAAACAGCCCCCCCCCCCGGTCTTATACTCAAGTTAAAGTTATTTATTATTTTATTCTGCTATTATTATTATTATTATTATTACATTTATTATTTTACTCTTTATTATTATTAGAATTACATTATTTCTCTCTATTATCTTATTACATGTATTAATTTACTCTATTTATTATTATTATTGCATTTATTATTTTACTCTTATTTATTACTATTATTATTAGATTTCTTTTATTTTACTCTATTATATTATTAAACTTATTATTTTACTCTATTATTATATTATAAGGATATGTAAGCACATTTAATTTGAAGAAGATCAGAATAAGGGTTTAATCGGAGTTGGACAGTCTTATCTTAAATTACAGTTTTATGTAGATATTGAAAAAACATTTAACCTACTGATGCCTCAATTAATGTAATTTTATTGGTATCTATTTTTCTTTTGAAATTTATCAGTAGCTGCTGCATTTTCCACCCTATATGCTAGAGTCAATATGTTTTCCCAGTTTTTTGTGGTAAATTTAGGTGCCTTGGCTTATATTCAGGTCGGCTTATACTTGCGTATATATGATATTTAGAAGATTATGTGGTCGTTCAATGATCCCTGAGGATCTTTGGGAAATTCCAGTTATTATTTATTTATTTTAATGCTTTCTTTGTTGCAGGGGCAAGTGCAAACACAGGGAAAGGTCTAGAGTCCCCTCTCCATGTGGCTGCTCAAACCTCCAATGCTGATCTGGTGAATTTGCTTCTTGACTTTGGAGCAAACACAAGGGCCAGGAATGCTGAGGGGAAAAAACCAACAGAGCTGGTTTCACCAAGCAGCCCACTTGCACAGATATTTCTGCAGAGAGAAGGTGCCCATTAATCTTTGTTTTCTTCAAAACCAAAGTATGTAATGAAGCTGAAGCAGCCTTTGAAAGGACTTTCTCCCCTCTGTTTCGTTGTTAAATCTGGCAGCGCCAATGTTTGTCATTATGTGCTGAAAGAAAATCCCCTGTAAAGCTCACCATTTAGTCATGGCTGCTGATGTTGCAAGTTTGTTTTTGATGTTATAAATTAACAATGGGAGCATACATGGAGATTGAGACACATCCAAGTACATCTCCGTGGGATCCGGATCTGAGAAGAAAATGGAACAAGGTGTTTTTCTAAGTATGAAGCCTTGATTGTTAATATAATCGTAATCTATGACTGAGTTGTAACATGATACTGAAATATTACAGTGGGAATGTGTTAGGTAGAAGAAAATCATATAGCCACATATTTAAGAGTATATGTGAATAGAAACTTGTTGTAAAACTGACTGGTAGCACCTTTCCATACAGTTATGCTCAGAAAATACATTGTATGCCCACCAAAATAGACTTGTGTGGTTTGCTGTACACACAGTGTATGATGCATATGAAGGTAGTGAGGTTTGTTTATTTCTTTTATTTTAAAAAACCCTCTAGTTCAATGGTTCTCAACCTGTGGGTCCCCAGATGTTTTGGTCTTCAACTCCCAGAAATCCTAGCAGCTGATAAACTGGCTGGGATTTTTGGAAGTTGTAGGCCAAAACATCTGGGGACCCACAGGTTGAGAACCACTACTCTTGTTTGTGTATGTGTGATATAAAATAGCTTGACCATTTGTTATGCAGGGACACCTTAGTCAACAAAGAAACTTCTCATGATCTTTTTGTGCCTTCCCTAACCCTTTCATCCATTTCCTCTGTCTAGATGATTTTTTTTTTAGCAGCATCAGCATTGAGAGGATGGTAAGAGATAGCTGAAGTTACACAGGCTTTTAAAATTAGACTTTGGCAGCATGTCTGCAGTAGAAAATGCAAACAAACTTGATATGGGGAAAATGGGATTCTGCTCTGACTTGTTTTCCTGTAGGTGTGGGTCACAGCCTACAACAGGGAAGGTGAACAACAGCTTGCCATAATAATAATAATAATAATAATAATAATAATAATAATAATAATAATAATTTTATACCGAACCACCATCTCCCCAATGGGGACTCGTGGTGGCTTACATGAAGCCAGGCCCGGACAACATATTACAACAAAATAAAACCAAAACATAAGCAATATGCAACAGCATCAAAATTACATTTAAAAAATATGAATACAGTAACAAAATAACATTACAATAAACACATCACATCCTGCTACATGTGCAGGATAAAATGTTAAAAAAACTCGAATGAGATAAGAAGAGGAGCAAGTTATTTGCAGGGAGCTCAAAGAAACACAGGGTTGTGAAACCAAACTTCCCATTAGGGGGGCATGTACCCCAGTGACAGAAATGTTGAGGGCAGCAGTAGTGTCATGTTGTACACCTACTCGCCAAATGCACAGCAGAAGAGCCAGGTTTTAAGGTTCTTTTTAAAAGTTTCTAGTGTAGGAGCTTTCCTGATTTCTCCATGTAATGAGTTCCAGAGTCGGGGAGCCACAAAGGAGAAGGCTTTCTTTGCTGAGCATGCATAATCCTTTGCTGAGCACGCCTGAACAGAAAAACAGAGAGAAAATACAGATAGATCTGTGTCATTAGCCATATCTACCATAGATATGGCCACCAAAAATGAAAACCAAAAGAAAAGTGGAGGTTAATGAAAGGAAAAAACTCATTTCTAGATGGCTTTTGGAAGCGGCTTTTGAGTGGTTCCTATAACATCCTGTGTTTTTGTTTTGTTGTGGAAGCCTGATTTTATTTGTGTTTCTCATTTCACACCTACACATTGCTAGTTTTGAATAAAGAGTTTGTCGAAACATTAAATTGCTCTTCTTTTTTGTGATGTACAAACCTATCCTTAATATTTTCATGTTATTTTTACCTCTGATGCCAGGCTTTCTGTTAAAAAAGTAACACCCAAGAACAGACTTACTTTGTTAACTAAGGTATACCTGTATAACAGGAGGATCAAACTCATTTTGACTGAGTGCCACATCAGCCTTATGGTTGTCTTCAAAGGGCCAGTTGTAACTGTAAGACTGTATAAATGTAACTACGTTGTCCTGGCATTGAAAGCCTTGCAGACTCAACCCACAGGCATTGCATTTGACAGAAGTACTGTATAGTCTTGATAAAATAACCATAGATTACCCTAGTCAGGATTGTGCATGTGGTATCATTTAGTTTCCAAAGTATAAATATGCATAGCCTACCACTTGCCAATTGGAGCCCCTGGTGGTACAATGGGTTAAACCCTTGTGCCGGCAGGAGTGCTGACCGAAAAGTCGGTGGTTCGAATCCTGAGAGTGGGGTAAGCTCCCGTCTGTCAGCTCCAGCTACTCATGCGGGGACATGAGAAAAGCCTCCCACGAGATGGGAAAACATCCAAGCATCCCCTGGGCAACATCCTTGCAGATGGCCAATTCTCTCACATCAGAAGCGACTTGCAGTTTCTCAAGTCATTCTTGACACACAAAAAAAACTTTCCAATTTTACATTTCTATTAAACTCTTGCAAAATACATTGAAAATTTTACCAACACAAGTTTGACCAATAAAAGAATACTGAAATTCTGTTAGTCATTGCTGCTTATCAAGGTTTGTGAGATTCTCTAAGCTCATCTCACAGTAGCTGCTGAACAGTATACTAGCTAATTAGAACTAAATGGTGCAGATGAGTGGCTGTACATAGATCAATTGAGTTATAAATGAGATGTTGATTTTGGGTAGGAGTTCTGAATTCCTGTTATGGTACTCATCTCTCATATATATATATATGAGAGAAGAAATGTTTGGGAAATACACTATGTTTACATTCCAGTGCCATGTCTTATGGCAATTTCCTCTGTTTATATTTGGCAATGTATCCAAAAGAGAATTTTATTTACATGAAATTTCTGTCCACTTTCCATTGCGATGATAGGATTCTTGATCCATTAGCTGCTGCAGAGATTGCATGCTGTACTGATTGTGCTGAAGTTTGTTGGACGGGATTTCCCCTTTTCTGTTCATATCGGGTTTAACGGCCATTTGTGCTCATCCAGTTCTACTTCTGCTTTACATCAAAGAGGAGATAATGCTGCTGTGATTACAAATGGAAGCAAAATACTGTGATGGCAAAATAACAATTGTGTCTTTGTTATTGTTTTAGAATAGATTTCTATTGAGTAAATGTTTTCCTATCTCACTTAATTGCTGTGTTTTTCTTGTCGCCTCATCTTCTTGTAGAACAGTAATTTGATCTTGACCTTCTCATATTATCTTTATGTTGGGATGATCAAGGGCAAGCCAATCTATGAGGCCTGAAAGCTTTCAAATATTGTGGGAGACCTGAGCAGTAAAATTTGTTTTGTTCATGTGACTCATCAGAGTCATAAAAAATTAAAGTTGCCCTTATTATACAGATTATGGTTATGGAAAAGCAGTATTAATAATAATATCTTGCTTGTTTCTTTGGCACCCCTCTCCCCCTTTTCCAGGACCTTTCTCTTTGATGCAGTTATGCCGCTTATGCATATGGAGATACTTGGGATCCAAACAACAACAAAGAATAAACCAACTTCAGTTGCCTGATGAGCTGAAACGGTTTCTCTTGTATATTTAAAGGTTTTATATTTTCAAGTTCTTATTAAAGTTTTATTTCTTATCCTTGTGTATTTGTTTGATAGATATTACAAATGCCGAAGCTGGGTTTTCACCAATTGTATATGAGACTAACAGAATTAAAAAAAAATTAGTACTATCGGCTTTTCATATTCACGGATTCTACACACATGGATTGCACCACCCATTGCTTGAAATATTTTTTAAAATCCCCAAAGCAAACCCTGATTTTGTATTCTATATAGTGGATACCATTTTTATAATGCTATTTAATATATTGGGTCATGAGAATCCATTAATTTTGGGATTCACAAGGGATCCTTGAATACTAAGGACCTACTGTATACAATTCTCTCTCTGGCCCCATCCACACTGCCATATAATGCAGTTTGAACTGCATTATAATGGTTATTGCAGACTGAACTGCATTGAACTGGACTATATGTGTCTACACTACTGTATAATCCAGTTCTATGTTAATATGTTTTCTGAAACTGCATTATATGGCAGTGTAATTGAGGCCTCCATTTTTCTTTGGCATGTCCAAATATTGGGTGAGAAGAACATAGAAAAATCCATTTTCTCCCACAATAAGGAGAAAACTGCAAATTAGTTATTCTTGTACTTCAGGATGAAAATGTCAAATATTTACATCTTCAGTATGTTAGGGTGGAGGGAGAGCTTTCAACTATTTAAACATCATACATTTCTATGCTTTCCATAGCAACACCTGTAGAGAAATGAACATCCAACCAGGTATTTTTAAAGATGACAAGTATCACAATAGTCGGTTCATTTGCAGAACTTCTCTCTTTATTCTATTTGAAGCAAGTAAGTACTTGAGGGTGCATTGTACAATAACCAAAAAGGTATTAGCTGCCATTGAACCAACCCTGACTTTTGGCACCTCTGAATGAGAAACATCCAAATCTCTGTTATCAAAGGCCCTGCTAAGATCTTGCAGACTCAAGGCCATGGCTTCCTTGGTCAAGTCCATTCATGGCAAATGTACATTTCCTCTTTTTCTACTTCGTTCCAACCAGCATTATTCTCTTTTTCGGAGTTTCATCTTCCTTTGATACATCAAAGTATGGCTTTCTAAAAACCTGAACTTTTAATCTGGACCAGCAGGTGGGGCGCTTGTCTCTTAAATAATAAAGAATTTTTTTTTTCCAGAAATTTCCATTCCTTCACACCCAATTCACGTGGAAAGTCGATTAACAATTTGTTATTGTTTGATCTCAGCAGGCTAATATGCCAAAGCATAAGGAAGTACAGCTTTTTTTCTTACTTTCTATTATCCTAAGTTTTTTTTTTCAAGAGTGATGATGGCAATTTCCCATTACAGTTAGCCAAGTTCCTTTATTATATTGTCAACAGGAGTTGAAAAGATTTTAAAATTCTAAATGTGTCAATGGGAAACTTTTCACTCAGTTTACAGTCATGGGCCAGGATTCATGGTACCCAAAAATTCTGCTGGATCCTGTTGATTCCCCTTCACTCCTGTCCTCTGAAATCTGGTGCAAGAAATGTAAAGACACTAGGCATGTGTTATCAATTTAAAAATGGTTTCAAATGTCATTACAAAATTAGAGGGCACTGGCATTTCAATGTATTGTCGAAGGCTTTCATGGCTGGAATCACTAGGTTCTTGTGGGCTTTTTCGGGCTATAGGGCCATGTTCTAGAGGCATTTCTCCTGACGTTTCACCTGCATCTATGGCAAGCATCCTCAGAGGTAGTGAGGTCTGTTGGAATTAGGACAATGGGTTTATATATCTGTGGAATGGCTGGGGTGGGGCAAAGACCTCTTCTCTGCTGGAGCTAGGTGTGAATGTTTCAACTGACCACCTTCATTAGCATTTGAAGGCCTGGCTGAGCCTGGGAAAATCTTTTGTTGAGAGGTGTTAAGATGTGCCTGGTTGTTTCCTCTCTGCTGTTTTGCTGTTGTAATTTTAGAGTTTTTTAATACTGGTAGCCAGATTTTGTGCATTTTCATGGTCTCTTCCTTTCTGTTGAAATTGTCCACATGCTTGTGGATTTCAATGGCTTCTCTGTGTAGTCTGACATGGTGGTTGTTGGTGTGGTCCAGCATTTCTGTGTTCTCAAATAATATGCTGTGTCCAGGCTGGTTCATCAGGTGTCTGCTATGGCTGACTTCTCTGGTTGAAGTAGTCTGCAGTGCCTTTCATGTTCCTTGATTCGTGTTTGGGCGCTGCGTTTGGTGGTCCCTATGTAGACTTGTCCACAGCTGCATGGTATACGGTAGACTCCTGCAGAGGTGAGAGGATCCCTCTTGTCCTTTGCTGAACGTAGCATTTGTTGGATTTTCTTGGTGGGTCTGTAGGTGGTTTGTATGTTGTGTTTCCTCATCAGCTTCCCTATGCGGTCAGTGGTTCCCTTGATGTTTGGCAGGAACACTTTTCCTCTGGGTGGATCTTCATCTTTACTCTCGTGGCTTGTTCTGGCGTTTCGTTTCTAAAGTGTTTCTAAAGGATTGTTAGTAAACTTTCAGTACCATCTCATATTAACCAATCAAACTTCCATTTAGGGATTTTAGAAGTATCAGTCTTCCTCTTTGCAGATTCAACAATTTATTGGAATTCTGGTTGGCTGCTGCTACAGAGGGAAAATAACTCCCCCCCTATCCTGATTGGGGCTTTCTGATGCTAAGCAGAATTCTGGGAAATGTAGTTTAGGGCAGGCTCTTTTGGATTCTCTGGCATAGGCCTCTTTGCCTTCCCAAACTACATTTCTCAAAATTCTGTACTTTTTCAGTCTCTTTCCCAGGAACTCTGCTTTCTCCCTGCTTCTTCCCTCTCATGGCATGAGGCCATTAATTTAAAGAGGAAAGGCAGCCTTTTTGGCTTTGCTTTACTTCCTTGCAGTGAAAATGAAACTTATTTTGGGTGGCTTCTAAAATTTACAAAATGCAAACAAATAAATTTTGGGTAAGTTTCGATTCTTAAGTTTTTGGCGCAGGCCATGGTGGCGTGTCAGATATTGCATCATAAGAAGGAATTTAACAAATTTGACATAACTTACAATGACTAAAAAAAATTGCACACCCCTAAAAGACACATTTAAGCTTTCTCAGTCCTTAGGAAGTTCAGCAGTTGAGAAACTGTCCATAGACAGAGACAGAAAGAGCATTTAAAAAACGATTGAGGATTGTATATATTGAGATTTTGGAAACTGATGAAGAGAATCCAGAAGTAATAAGAATGTGTTGTCGAAGGCTTTCTTGGCCAGAATCACTGGGTTGTTGTCAGTTTTTCAGATCGTATGGTCATATTCTTTAAGTATTCTCTCCTGATGTTTCACCTGCATCTCTGGCAGGCATCTTCAGAGGTAGTGAGGTCTGTTGGAAACTAGGAAAATTGGGTTTATATATCTGTGGAAAGTCCAGGGTGGGAGAAAGTCTTGTCTATTGGAGCTAGGTGTGAATGTTTCAATTGGCCACCTTGATTAGCATTTGATGACCTGACAGTTTTTAGGTGTGGCTTGTTACTGCCTGGGGAAGTCCTTTGTCAGGCCATCAAATGCATAGTAATACAAACCTTTTGAAAAAGACCAAGTTATCCATGCTTGATTAGTCTTAAGATGGCAATCCTAAACAACATTGAAGGCAATGGGATTTACTTCTGAGTAAACTTGACTACAGTTTCTCATCTCATCCCATTGTTTTTAAGGGGCATATACATGGCTAGAACTGGGTAAACCAAGGCCACTGGTGTCGTAATCAGTTGCCAAGTGACTTGAAGAATTCTGGTAAATATTTTCTAAAATAATTTATATTCATAGCATTCTGGCAGGGCTTGTTTGCACTATATTTTAGGCTGGTGCTCTGAGCCTTGGAGACAAGGCTATACATATGCATCAATTTGGCACAGGGTGCTGAGTTAAATGATATGTAAGGATGTTGTAATGGAGGTTGCTCAGTGTGTACCATGTTACTGAGCAATCATTATGGTGGAAACTGATAAGAGATGTTTATTCTCTAAGCAGCAATTGTAGCATTAAAAGGCACAGAGGGGAAGCATTTGTTGCCTTGCTGTTAGGAATAGGTCACACAAACAGCAGCAAGAAAGGGTTTTCTGAACATTTCAATGTTCCCTTTTTATCAATAAACAGCCAAGGCTAATTTGTACATTCCAACTGGACTTCTTTTGCACCCATAATGACTATTTTTGTTATTTGAGCACTCCACTGCGGGCTCAGCACCAGCTTTAATACTGCACTAGTAATGTAGTAAATGAAACATTTGCAATACTATGATGGAGGATTGGCCAGATCACTTAGACAGTTGTTTCAGAATTTATGTTTCCCATCTGTGCAAAAACATTAAACGTTAAAAATAGAAAACAAAACTCAGAAAGTATGCAAATGCTAGCAGTGCTGTGCTGAGAGAGCGTCAGAGTAGGGTTCTTGTGGATTCGGGTCTGGAGAACAAGAGGCTGAAACATCCCCTTTATTGTATTGTCGAAGGCTTTCATAGCCGGGATCACTGGGTTGTTGTAGGTTTTTCCGGGCTATATGGCCATGTTCTGGAGGCAATTTTTCTCCTGACGTTTCGCCTGCATCTATGGCAAGCATCCTCAGAGGTAGTGAGGTCACTACCTCTGAGGATGCTTGCCATAGATGAAGGCGAAACGTCAGGAGAAAAATTGCCTCCAGAACATGGCCATATAGCCCGGAAAAACCTACAACAATCCCCTTTATTTTCAAGAAAGTTGTTTCATCAGTAATTAAATTAGTTTTCCCCCTTTGGTTTCCATATGAGAGGTCAACTCACCCTAAGGGTACCATGAGTGGTAATAACAATAGACAATAACAATATGTGGCCTTCTGGTTAAATGTCACAATGAACTTGGCAATAAGACTTCCATTGATTAGAAAGAAATCCACCCCAAGGAGTGTGAGGGTTTGCCCTCAGTCACCTGTCAATTTATGGCAATTCCATGAAATTCATAGGGTTTTCCTAGGTAAGGAATACTAAGGGGTGGTTTTGCCAATTCCTTCTTCTGAAATATTGTTCACAGAA